ACTCCACAGATTGTCCCATTCATCAGGGTCTTCCAACTGTCTGTGTAGTATTTTCAGGGGACTGGAGAGGCTCCCCCACAAAGGAGGAGGCAAGGAAGACACTCCCATCAGCACAGGAGACTCAGCATAAATCTGGATCCAGCCCCTTATCCAGGGACATCTGGGGAGGTAGCTACGGATGGTGCCAAGGGACAAATTTATGGGGACTGTGATTTTCTTTATAGACACCTCCTAAGAGCTCCATTGCTGGAAGAAAGTATTTATTCTGCCCAACACATTTCAGAAACAATTCTTTTTCCATCCTTAGGTGCTGCTGTGAAAATTCCACCATAAAACATGGTTGACTTTTTATAACATGTCTAAGAAACTGAATAAACAGGAACACTGCATCAATTAATGTTTTCCCACAAATCCACAGATTTTAACTTTTATAAAATACACCCATCAGGAGGATTCTGTTTGTTAGAACTATGATTAGTCTTGCTCTGTGTTTGATTTGTGTTTTGACACAGGCCATGTTCACTTCGACCGACTCTGCACAGAACAGCTTCCTAGGACACTGTGCCATAAACTGATACAGCAAATGATTTCCATGAACTTAATTTTTCTACCTTTGAGTTCAACTCTAACAATACTGGGAGACCTGCCACACAGATGACTAATAATGTGGGTGTTATAACACCACAGGACCGGTTCCTAAACTTAAAAACTGAAGAGAAGCATATAGCCAGTCTTATGGGGAATTCTACCTACTTGGAATTTTTCCAGCAAGAGATCACAGATCTATTCTCGTTCCATCAGCTGAACAACATAAAAAGAAGACAGAAATATCCCTTTAAAGCAGAGATGAGGGAAAGACTCGTGAAAATGTTTTGGAATGTGGAACAGCTGAGAAGGGTGACACCAGAATTCCCCATCTGAGTTTGCAGCAGGAATCCCCAAGACTGGTGACCTCAGCACATTCCAGATCATATATTTAGAATGTAGCAGAATATTCTGGTGGCACAATGACGCCCTCACAGCTTTCCTTAACACTTGATACTCACATCTGGCCTGTCTTCGTTTGCAAATCAAGATGCCAAAGTTGCTGCCTGAGGGTTGTCCCCCCAAACCTCCGTCTTACCATTATTATTATTATTATTTATGTCTTTATTGCCATACCACCCAAAGAAGGATTTACAACTGTCCCTAAAGCAGGGCCATAATGCACAAGAAAAGGCACATGAAAATAATAACACCTAAAACACATGAAAAGTCCAAAGTGCTCTATTGAAGTAATTTTTTTTAAATTTTAAACAGTATCTAACACAGTCTACACGTGTTAAAAGATTAACCTGGGAGCCCTCATCAAACTATTAAATTATGCCTCCAAAGACCTCAGAATAGCAGGCTGAACAGATGACAAGGATGGCATCAAACAGGCCTCAGTGAGGAGATGGTTCCACAGTTAAGGGGCCACCACTGAGAAGGCGCTCCCTCAAAGCCACCTTCCAAGACTCACTTGGAAGAAGGTCTCAGACACAGATGTTACTGTTCTGGTAGACTACAGGCAGGGAAGGCCTTCCATCAGGTGGTGCAGTCTTAAGCTGCATAAGACTTTACAGGTGAAAACCAACACTAGGAATTGGGCTTGGAAGCACACAGCGGGCAATGCGAAGTGGACCAGAATCAACCATATATGTTCAAACCTTCTAGTCCCTGTTATGCCTCTGGCTGCTGCATTTTGCCCAGGCTGCAGTTCTAGGAAGGTCTTCAAGGGTAGCCCCATGTGCAGTGCAGTGCAGTGCAGTGCAGTGCAGCATCTAATTTAGAAGTCACCACAACATATATTATTGTGCTGGGCCACCAACCAAAAAAAAAAAAAAAAATCCAGCATGCCATACCCCTGAGACTTCCTGAGCCTTCAGCAACAAGACGTCTCCAGGAGGATGCCTACTTTAAGAGAAGTGCTACCCCTTCCAAAACAGCAATTGCCAAAGCAGCAACCATTTGAGTTATGAACTTATCTACAGAGATGTCCATCCCACAGGGAAGCAGGTTTGATAAAAAGCTGCTTTTCAACAGTCTTCCAAATTTTAGGAGGTGTTCCACGCAGTCCATTGCTGGTGGTTATCTCTAGTCAAAAGACGTGAAATACTTCTTAGATGTTAGGCATCTTTCCACAGTACAATCCCCACTACTTATATCATAAACCATGGGGCATTTTTGCATAAGAAGTTACAAATAATATTTTCCATACTAAGTCACTCATCAGCTTATGATGTTGCAAGGCCCAGACTATCCTGCTTCCTTTTGTAATAAATCCCTTTATTAATTCATTAAGATTGCCTTAGCAATCACAAAAGGCACCAGCAACATTTGAATCTACCTGATTTTTGTAAATTTCCAGGTTTGGACATTGCTTTCATTGCAACATTTCCCTTTTAAACTTTCATTCTATTTGACCAGTCTCTTATATAAAGCTTGAAAAAAACTTGACTTTAAAAATAAACACACTCCCACCACCAACTGCCAGCTCGCACACATCTGGATTAAAAGTCAAACAACTTGGTGCACGAATGCGTAGCATTACCTCACATCCATAAGCATAACCTGCATTGTTTAACCCAATTAGGTATGGAAGGAGCGTTTTTGTTGGAAGTGCTGTTGGGTTAGGAGCAGAGCGCTACGGGTTGTGCATGTGCTTGTCGCCGAGGCCGGAGTCCCACACAGCAGCTTTCTGTTTACAAACAAAAGCTTCCACCAGAACATGGAGGCAATCTCTGCTTGCTGCTTCTCCTGCTAGGCCATCTGCTGCTTGATTCATTCTGGGGGTCCCTCTTTGTTGGGAAGCTGGAGGAAGAAAGTGGGAGGAAGGATGCAAGTGAGAAAGAAAAGAAAAAGGAAGGAAGGAGAGAGGGAGGGAGGAAGTGGAGGAGGTTGGTTGGTCATATATTCGTGGACTATGTAAAGCTTGCTGCTAGATTGATGGGCCACAGCTGTGGAAGCAAACGTGAAATCAGGGGAAGATATAAGCACTTTGCTGTTAGAGATAAGGGAGGATTCCTGCAAATGTTCAGGAAACACCTGATGTTTTCCCCTGTCACTACTCAGCAAGGTGAGCACAGACAGCAGCTGAACCATCAGAAAGGAGGCAAAAAGCAGTGGGGGGACCTGCATGCTAGGGAGAAGCTATAGCTCTTTTCCTTACAACAAGGGTTGACCATATTTGCTGAAGGGAAAAAATACCTTCTCAAACTTGCATGCAAACAAGACAAGGAGCTGGGAGGTTCACCCTTCACAGCTGTCATAGCCACGCTGGCTCAACATGACCGTAGTTGTAACACCCTCTTCTTCCAGGCTGGTCAGGACAGCGTTGTTTCCTTAGCTCCTTTTGGGCTGGCGAAAGAGACTTCCTTGGGTGCTCAGGAGCCATGTGGCAGCTGCAGGGAGTGACTTTGGTCGGAGCCACAAAGCAGGTGCCAGTGGAAAGAAATAATCCCATACTTGGTCTGGCCATGAGTACACCTGGTGCAGCAGTCTGCTCCCACACTGTCCGGCCAGCTGGTTGCAGGAACCCACAAGTAGGACACTCTGCTGCACATGTTCCCGAGTTCAGAGGCGTTTGGGGAGGGGGGCTCCTCAGGCCTTGTAAGAGCAGGCAAGGCTGGGACCCTGCTGACTGTTCACACCCCTTCAAGGGCCCACAGAGCAGCATCCCTGGAGTTGCTCCACCTCCTTAGCAGTGCAGTCTGCTTCCTCCCCTATCTCCATCTGGCCAAGATGAAGGTCTTGGAGAAGGAAGGTCAGTGCCGCTGCCTGTGCTCGCATCACGGCTCTGCCTATCCGGCAAGTAAGTGGTACCCGTGATGAGAAAGAAGAGGGCAAACAAGAACAGGGAGCGCTACTGGTCATGAGAAGACAGACTCATTGATGCAGGGCACCCCTTGAGGCTGAACAACCTGGGACCCAAAGCACCCTGGAGCATCTCTGGTTGGACTATAGATCCCATTGTGCCCAGCCAGCACAATAGCACATAACATTAAAGTCTCCTTAAGAACATTTAGCAAATTTGGGGGTGAAATAGCAGAGGGATGGAACAGCTTGCCTTTAGCTTCCTGGCTATTTTGCTCCCTACAATGGCTCCTGAGCAGTTTCGTGCCATGTAGGAGGAGAATGGTGCCCTACCCACAAGGTAAAAACAAATCAGGGCGGGAGATTGTGAGCAGACATCTGAAAGAGCTTCGGAAGCTCTTCTCTCCAGTTCTTCACCAAGCTCAGCCACAGAGGATGCAAAATGGAAACACTGAATACAAGTTATACCTGGCTCCATGCAATGTGTAGTTTAGACCTTAAGAAGGGGATGGCAGAGGATGAGGTGGCTGGATGGAGTCACTGAGACAGTGGGTGTGAGCTTTAGTGGACTCCAGGAGATGGTGGAGGACAGGAAGGCCTGGAGGAATGTTGTCCATGGGGTCGCAATGGGTCAGATGCGACTTCGCAACTAACAACAACAAAAACCGCAAGGGCCTGTTCCAGCCAAGACACCTCATTTTGATACACTATCTGCATCAAAGATTATAAGTAACTGAACATAATGGTGAAATATGGGTGTAGGATATGAATAAGTGAAAGAAATCTTACACTCCCTTTTCTGTGGCCACATTTACTCTTTGAATAGGACAAGAGATGCTTATGGGCCTCCAAGTTGCCCAGGCAAGTAATATGTCTCTCCAGGCTGAGAACAAAGACAAAAACTCTTGCCATGGATGGTATAAAATTCCTCTTTCTCACTAACCTACCCCTTCCTGAGCAACGGGGGATGCAAAGTGGCTTCAGTAAGGAAAACAGTTTCATTCTCCAAGCAAAAGCAGTGCTTATCTACAGAATGATTCCAGAAGGCAGCTTCAAGGCCATTATCTTGAGTGCTCTTCCTTACAAGCTGAAGGCCATAAGACCTTGACATGGCTCCAAGAAACTATCCTGGGTTTTGGATGCTGGGAAAGCTCAGGAAGCTGGGTATGGCAGTCAGCTTGGACATCAGTAAAACTCTGAAATTGCCCTATGTTACAATGACAGTGAAAGTGGCGGATACTTCTGCGTATATCACAAGCAAAACTTTTGAAATTATAATCCTGCAATTTCAGAATTTCCACAACCTGTTCAAGGAAATGGCAAGTGCTCTTGAGACAGTTTGAACAGTGCTTTGGTAGTTCATTCAAGCCTCAATGAACCCTTTTCAACTTGCCCATAAAACTTAATGAGCTAAAGATATGCAGGTCTCTCAGCATTTGAATTTCCTATCTGGCTTTGTCCAACTGCTAGAGTATTCTTGTTTGAAAGAAATCCCAAAGAACTATAACTTCTATGAATTAGAAATTTATGCAAACAACAAATGCAAATTGTGATAGACATTCTTCTACATATTTTTAAAAATCAGTCAATGTCAAAATTGTAGCACTCTCTGTATGAGTATCTATATCCCTAAGCCAGAAACATAGAAACAGAGCAAGTCAGAAGGGGTCTCCCGGGCCATCTAGTCTGATCTCCAGCTCCAACCAGCTCCGTTCACGACATGCCCACCACATGCATGTCCGGCCTATCCTTGAACACCCGCACCGATGGGGCCTCAACGACCTCTCGTGGAAGCCCATTCCACACCCTCGGGGTCCTGACTGTCAGGAAGTGCTTCCTGGCATCCAAATGGAACCTTGGCTCCCTCAGCTTTGCTCTGTTGGAGCGCATCCTGCCTTCCTCTGCAGGGGAGAACAGGCCTCTACCCACCTCCGTGTGACATCCCCTCACATACCTGTATGTCGCCAACATATCCCCTCTGAGTCTCCTCTTCTCCAGGCTGAAGAGAACCAGTTCCCTCAGTCTCGCCTCATACGGCTGCAAACCAGTCACCAACCTTGTGGCCCTACGCTGCACTGACGTGTGTGTTGTATGATTTGCATGGTGCTCATGAAAAAATAACATGCCACTTGCTTTGGAAACCAACATTTCATTGTTCAATATCTTCTATTTAAAATATTTGAGAAAAATGTCTTATTTTTAGAAAAGAATGAGTGGTTTCCTCATCACGTCAGCAATTCGATACACACCCCAAGAAAAACGTATGGATTGTTAGTAATGTTTAATTTATATTGTAGGGCACTTCAGTGCACTGGGCACAAAACTAAATTAATTACTGGTTTTCAGTCATCAAGTTAAGTTATCCAGTTTTGGGATAAGCTCCACATGTTTCTTTTCCCTTTGAATTCTGAAACATAAGCATCTTGTTATGGTTGTTTCCTAAAATCTGTTATATGATTACTGTTTTTAATTTTTTCTCTGTGCTCACATTTTCTCCTTCCAGTTCTGAATGGATGTTTTAAGGCAAAACAGTGTCATTGTGTTTCTAATTAAAACATCAATCAAGTATATTAATTATAAAAATTGGCAGCTGTGTGTATGTGCAGTATCACACCCATTTCTTACCAAATGGAAGGAGGATTTGATGTAAGCCTCCTCCACTCCTGCACACAGTCTCCTTCTCTGAAATATCTCTTACATGTACCTGCCTTTGTAATTTTTGTATTTGGACCACAGAATTTGATCAAGAAGATGCAGAGAAGATGCAGAGAATGCTCACCATTTTTGCTTGAGTCCCACCAAGGAATCTCCCACCCTAGTTTGTATGTGTTGGGAAAATTCAGATAAATCCTGGCTGAAAAGGGTTGCTTATGTGCCCTTGTGTTAGAAAATGCCTGCACCCCTTTCTCAGGAAGCTCCCAAAAATTCCAAGCTGGGTTACTGTTTAGCATTTGTTGTTACTTTAAGAAGTGGGCTTCCCCAAGAAGCTGCCAGAGCTATTGGTTTTGCTGATCAGTAAAGGCTGATAAGGCAGCCGGGTTAACAGCATTGCAATTACCCTTATTTGCATGCCAAGACCCCCAATAATCCCTGTGCTTCAGTGATCCTTATGTTAACACCCTGCAATCAAATGCCATTGTATTGAGCCCCTCTGCAGTCCTCTCACCTTCTTCTGACTGTGTTCCCCTTATTTTCTGTCATCAGTTGCCCAGCTGCTGGACCCATGTGACTCAGAATCTATAAAACACTCTGTGTATGTTCAAAAAGCTTCTAGTTGGTAGTGGAGACCACTGCCCTGTAGCATGCTGTTGTAAGTAACTGCAGGGGGGCTGGGTGATCTCCCCAGTAAGAACACTGGGGTTCAAGGGGATTCAATCTTCCCTGTGGGTCCTGGTATCCATCCTCACCATCAGCACAGACACTCTGACATATGTTTGGCCAAACACATCTCCAGTGGCACATCTGTCAAAACATATTGATTAACGACTGAAATGCCAATAGGACAACCTGGCTATCAAAACTTAGCGGCCTCCCTCCAGTCCAAGGGAACGTCCCTCAAAGTCTAGAGAGCCAGCTGAAAAGATGTGAGGGGGCCCTCCAATTTCTCCAGGGTTCAACTGTCTGCTTTCAAGATGACCCCGGAGTGAACAACGCAGCACCTGCAACATCTCATGCTGCCTGCAGGGAGGGACAAAATGGCACCCCTCCCGTTCCTCATACAAAGGCCAGTTGGAACCTGGATCTCCTGGGGCCCAGTCCAACACTATAGCTTCCATTTAGCCTGAAGTGCCAGACCCTGCCTAATCCTGCAAGCTAAGCAGGACCAAGCCTGGCTGAAATCTGGATGGGTGACTTAAAATGTTGAGAGAGCTTTGACTATGGGCAGAATAGAAATGCAATAATAATAATGATGATGATGATGATGATGTACTGCTACATGATATTGACTCACTGGTTCTAGTCCCCATTCATCCATGAGGTTCCCTGGATGACTTTGGGCCAGTCACAGACTCTCAGCTGACTCTACCTCACAAGTCTGTTGTGAGAATTAAATGGAGAGGAGGAAGATCTTGTAAGGTGGCTTGGGTTACTGTCTAGAAGGAAAAAGGCGTGATTATAAATTAATAAAAAAAAATCTGGGCACCCTGGTTACCCTTCACACGTTCCAAGAATGCAGAGGAGTGGGATACAGACATGGATCGCCCCCAGCATCCCATGTCAGTTGCATGTCCTGACATCTTTCTGCATTGGACCAAACCTGTAAAGAGGGAATCCGGTGCAACTGGGCTCAACAAGCATGCAGCTGGGATGAGGATGGCAAAGGCCTCCTGAATGGACAGGCCCAGTACTTGAGTTCGGCTAAACATAGGCAGCTCCTCGTTCAGACCCCCCAGGTAAAGGTTGGGTGGTGAAACTTGTGGCTGGGTTGCTCCTCATTCCACAGGTGGAGGGCAGCTTCTAATATACCTGCAAAGAGATGACAGACAGGAGGGCTTCAGGTGAATAATTATGAAGATTATTTTTATCCAGCATCCATTTCGGTTTGGAAAGGGGGAGCACCAGGTGCTTATGACATAGAGAGCAGAAGAAAAAAGCAGGAAGGAGTTTGTAAAAAATACTGAACTTGTCCAACCAAGATTTACAAGAAGACCAGGTGTGTGGGCAAGGGGGCGGGGGGAATTGAACTTCATAACCACTGAGAACAATAAGCATTTTTTTTAAAAGTCCTCCAAGCTTTTTCAAAACCTACACCAGTGCTCTTGTCATGTTGGTCAAGATTCCACAACACCGCTGAAACGGAACTCCACAACCCTACTAGACTATCCCAGTCATCTTATCCCAAAGTGAATAACTAGGAGGCTGCACACTCTCAAGTCATTGCAGAAACAATAATTTGTTTCCATACAATTTCTCTTGCACTGAAACAAGGATGTGGAGCTCTTTATTCATTGTTTCCAGGATTCCTGGGTTTTCAAGGAAGAAATCGGTTTCACCACAGCCAGCTACTTAGCGCTAGTGTGGGCTACTTGTTTTTAACTGAATCACACCAGACTTGGAACCCTTTGTGAACAATACAGCATTGCTTTTCCCCATGTTGCAACTCTGTTGGAAGGAAAATGCTTCTCCCTAGCATGAAACCACAAATCATTTCCAGGAAACTGTGGGATTCCCCCCTCCGCTGCCGTTTCTGCAGAACCATGAGGACACCGCAGCCCTTGCTTCATGGGCATCTGGTCACCCACAGGTGAAAAGAGACACTGCATGTTAGAACTACAACTTGCTCTAGAGGTAACTTTGGTGCCTTTCTTCCCAACATACCTACATACCTGGAGAGAGCCAGCATGGCGTAGTGGTTAAGAGCATGGGACTGGGACTCAGGCGATCCGGGTTCGAGTGCCCGCTCAGCCATGGAGCCAACTGGGTGCCTTTGGGCCAGTCACAGGCTCTCAGCCCAACCTACCTCACAGGGTTGTTGTTGTGCGGATAAGATGGAGGAGGAAATTATGTAAGCTGCCTCGAGTCCTTTGTAGGAATAAGGCAGAATTTACCTCAAAAAATAAATAAAAATAAAATAAATAAAATACCTTTCGTCTCCAGAGTAAGGAGGAAAAGGGCACCCTATAAGTTCACAGTAAAAGGCACTTATTGTTCAGCACTTGTGCTGTCACCAAGAACCTTTTTCTTTTCATTCCAGGAACAGTTTTGTATTTCAAGTTTTCTTGAACATAAAAAATTAAGAAGGTAATGAGCAAAGAGACAAACTTATGAGCCATCATGCTACACTTTAAAAAAATAAAAAGGTGGATGTCACCATATCTACTTCCTCCACACCATGCAGAATTTTGCACCTTTGTATTATGTTCCTCTTTACTCTTCCCTTTAAGCTAAACTGTGGAAGGGATTTGATTTGGGTATCCATTCCCCAGCACAAGAACAGACTGGGGGCTTCCAGATAAGGGATTTATCAAGCTGTCATCTTGCCTGATTTATGGTATTTTATTGGGGCAGGAAGAGTGCCTGTGTGGACAATGTCATCTCCCACCAGTAACCTTTCCATGCTTTCCCACTGCTTCCTCCATCTTTTTCCTTACTGGAGAAAAAGTGTTACGTAGAATAAGCCGGAGCAGTTGCACAATAGCTTCTCACTGGTAGCATTTGAGTCTCTCCATCTTGAGCAGCCTTACTTAAACCTCATATTTGAATTCCTTGCCTTTGAAAACTGAGTATAATACCTGCACTGTTCAAAGGTGGATCTTGCCAGCATTGTGTTTTGCATTCATCAAAAAGAATCACTCACCAGAGCAGCCTTAGGGAGGAGCAATTTGCATTCCAAAACAATCTA